GTTATGATAATGTAAAAAAAATATAATTATTTTAACTTCATTTAAAATAACTTACCTTGTCAGCCATACTTATGTAATATAGTTTGTATAAGTACTTCACAGGATAAAAATACACAATTAATACAAACTTATGCGCAAGTATAAAACTATAAAACAAAAACAAATGCTTGGTCTAACCAGTACGTACAGACAGTTCGGTAGATGCAAGACAAATGAAGTGATTATTTAAAAACAAAATCTACAGTTGAACAATCAATACAAAATATTATATAGTGTCCAAATATACAATGATTTGTTTTTGATAAACACTGACATTCATATTATTATAGTGTAAATCCAGATTTAAAATTAAAAGTATAGAGTTTACTCCACTATAAACTACGTATTTCGGATTTCCCTGTGAAACCCATCTATACTCCGCGGACCTTATTAATATGACCAGTCGCGCAACCAAAATAACTTCTACCACCGCACCGCTCGCAAAAGTCACCGATTCGACTTGTGTATCACTCCATCAGAAAACAGTCTCACGCACGTTAGCGCACGTATATCTCAAACAATAAAACTAATATTTGACTTCGCTGTGTACAAATATATACACATATATCTTTATTATTATAATATGGTATTTAATTTACTTTAATTAGTTTTTTCCTTGATTTTTAAATGGAAAAATATTCATTTTTTTTTTTCAAAAATTGGGAAATTGAGTTACTCTGATTCGCACAATGGTTAGAGCACATAAAACGTACGATATAAATCAGTGGAGAGGTATACATTTATGAGATAAAAACATGCAAACATGAATATTTTTTTATTTTTTTATTGAATAATATGTTATTATAATCGTATGTATTTTGAATACAAGACTTTTACACGGAAAAAATTCTTACAAAGCAGCAGCTCGTGGAAATCGAGCAAAAACTATCATATAAACTAACCTATTATATAAAAAAGAAATATCACAATTCACAACTATAAGTAGCAACGTACTCACGAGTTATAACATTAATAAGTATGAAGACCATCTAAAGTCCTAATAAATATCACATAACAAGACATACAATCAGTATATATTGCCCAGAAAATTACTATAAAAGTAGCCTACTCGTTACCGCCGACATACCCTTCAATAGATATTTTTAAAAATACTAACATACTATCAATCTATAAATTATACATTAAACAAATACTTATAAAAGCAATTCAAATGCAAATACTTAATAATACAGATATAATAGACAGTAGAACAGGTAATAACATAAAATTACCTTATATATCACTATCCAGTACAAAAAGTGCTCCCGATTATATGGCCAAAACTATATTCAACAATTTAGGAAATGATGTAAAGAGTCTAATAAAGTATGAATGTGAAAATCAGTCTAATAAAACCAATGAAAAAAATATAATTAACAAAAATCGTATAAAAAATATAATTACTAAAATAGTAAATGACCTAGATGAGAATGTGTGTAAAAATCAATTATTAAAAAGTATCTATGTGTAAATATAAATGATTATCTATTAGCATCGTTTAGTTATATAATTATAAGATAATGTTATTTAGAGTAGTAAAATACATCATTCTCAATTGTATAAGACATTGTATAAGACACATGACACTTTATTTTTATAATATTATATAAGTAATATGTATAGGAACTCCGTATACCAGAAACGAGCTTGCTCAGTTGGTATACGTATCAGCTCTTATCACTATTATTGTAGTAATTTAATTTTTTTTGTAATTTAATTTTTGTGATTTTGCTGAAATAAATAAATAAATAAATAAATAAATAGTAAAAAATAATCTATCGCTTATAGTCAATGGAAGAGTTTGGCACAGTTAAATAATGTTGAAATAAACAACTAAAAGATAAATTATTTAAATAATCAGCATATCGATACATACAAATTAGTTAAGCGATTAAGAAAAGTATATTTTTTTAAATTCTTCAATAAAGGTTTGATAACTCAACATTAGCATAATTTTTACAATTTGTTCGAACTCGATCGGACTACCTCTATCAATATATACTTACGCTCATTTTTACTTTGAATTTTTTTTTTTTTAATTGATTGAAAATTGTTTAATATATTGTTTGAAAATTATAAAATACATACAGTTTTTTTTTTCTGAAGGTATTTCAATTTTGTTTTTTTTTTATTTTTTATTTTAGATTCTGAGCCTGGCGAAAGAATGTATTGGGTTTACGTACAATGATGTGTTTTTTTTTCTGTCTATCAGCAACATTTTGGATAGAAAGCATGCTTCGATTTTTGAGATAGAAAATTGAACCTTGTTGGTACTTTTGGGAGGTAGAAATTGAAAATTCCAAGTAGTTTTAGAAAGCGTCAAGAAAAACCAATAAAAAATTGGTAATTTTTGAAAAAGTCGATTATATTTTTTTGGTGTAACTAAAAAACTAATAACCGCAGACCTTTGAAATTTTCACCAAATATTTATATTAGCATTTATAATGAATGGTAATATTTTCATAATATTTTGACTCTTTTTGGGATAGAAATAGACTTGAGAAATTTTTAGAAATTTGTAATTTTTTTTAAAAAATGCATAAAAATTAGCTAAGTGATTAAAAAAAATATAATTTTTGAATTTTTCAATAAGGGTTCAATAACTCAACATAAGCATAATTTTTACAATTTGATCGAACTCGATCGGACTACCTCTGTGGGGTGGCTGCGTGAATTTGCCCCCCCCCCCCAACTTGTTTTTTTATTTCCCGAGGCCCCAGATGATTTACAAATTCGGAGACTGAATTTACAATTATTTACAATTAATTTACAATTGTTTACAATTTGTTTGGAGTAGATCGGACCATGTGGGGGGGCTGCGTGAATTTGGCCCCCCCAACTTGTTTTTTATTTCCCGAGGCCCCAGATGATTTACAAATTCGGGGATAGAATTTACAATTATTTACAATTAATTTACAATTGTTTAAAATTTGTTTGAAAAAAATTGCAGAATGTGGGGGGGCCAACTTCATGTACGTACGAAGCGTTGCGGGGACGTAAGTGCGCGATCTGCCGGGTACTGACGTGTCGAGAAATACGGGACCCGAAGCTGTGTCGTGCGCTACGAGTTTTAGCGAAGTGGCTAACGTACCGTCGAGAATTCGTTGAAGCTGCGGATCTTCGGCTTGGTCCTTTGACAATGTATTGCAATCCGGGAGCTGCGCGTGTAGCGTGACGGTTTCGAGGCGGGAGAGCGCGTCCGGGACAACATTCTTGTCCCCGTGGATATGTTCAACTTGTTGGATGAATTGTGCTATGAAGCTGATGTGCCGCAATTGTCTGTCGCTGTATTTGTCCGTCTTAACGGAAAACATGTGCGTTAGTGGCTTGTGATCGGTCAGAAGTACAATGTGTCGGCCCTCAATGAGGTGAAGAAAATGACGTGTAGCTAAATAGGCGGCGAGCAGTTCTCGATCGAAGGTGCTGTAACGGGCTTGAGCGGACGTGAGCTTCCTAGAGAAAAAGCCGAGTGGCTTCCAGGTGTCATCGATGAACTGCTCGAGAACTGCGCCTATGGCTGTATTCGATGCGTCTGTGCATAATCGGAGTTCAGCGTCCGTGCTCGGGTGACAAAGGAATAACGTGTCCGCGAGAGCGTTGCGGGACTTGTCGAAAGCGAGTCGCGTTTCTGGTGACCAACACAATTGGCCGTCCTTCTGCTTGACCGACGAAGCGAGCTCGAATAACGGAGACTGCAGTTGTGCCGCGTTCGGTATAAACCTGTGGTAGTAATTTACGGAACCGAGGAAACGTTGCAGCGCTTTTTTGGAAACCGGAAGTGGCCAGTTTCGTATCTGATCGATTCGCTCGGGTAGCGGGCTACAACCATCGCCGTTGACGACATGTCCGAGAAAAACTAGTTGTGGTACACCTAGTACGCATTTTCTGACGTTAATTGCGACGCTGAACTTCTGAAAACGTTCGAGTACTGATCGCAAGTGTATTTCGTGTTCGGACTCGGACCGTGACGTGATTAAAACATCGTCTATATAAGCGAACACAAAATCTAATCCGCGGAGAATGTCATTGACGAAACGTTGGAAGGTTTGCGCGGCGTTCTTCAACCCGAAACACATTACCGGGAATTCATATAACCCGAAAGGTGTTGTTACGGCGGTTTTAGCAATGTCGTCGCGTGCGACGGGAATCTGGTTGTACGCGCGCACTAAATCAAGTTTTGAAAAAATAGTTTTACCGTGTAGATTGCTGGTGAAGTCGTGAATGTGTGGTAAAGGGTACCGGTCCGCTTTGGTGATTGCATTCAACCTTCGGTAGTCACCACAAGGACGAAACGATCCATCTTTCTTGCTGACAAGGAGCAAAGGGCTGGCCCACGCGCTGTCCGATGGACGACAAATGCCAGCGCGAAGCATAAAATCGAACTCCTTCCGAGCTGCACCGAGACGGTCGGGCGCGAGACGACGTGGTCGCGAAAACAAAGGTGGTCCGGTGGTCGAAAGAACGTGTTCGACGTTGTGTGCAAAAACGGCTGGTACGGGGGATTCCCGCGTGACCTTAAGAAAATCCGCGATCAAGTTGGTCCATAAACGTGGCTGAGAGACCGCGCAAATGGTCGGCGGAACTGTATTCGCGGTAGCGATCCTGGATGCCAAACCCGAGTTCGAATCGACTAACCTGTTACGGCGGACGTCGACTAACAAACCGTAATAATGCAAGAAATCTGCCCCGATAATTCCTCGGGTAACATCTGCGATTTCAAACGTCCACGTAAACGGCCGGGTGAGCCCTAAATCGAGATTGAGCGTTTTTCGTCCGTAGGTTTGGATACGGGTGCCGTTAGCAGCGGTGAGTATGACGTCGGACGTGGGGTGTTGACCGGCGGACGGCGGGAGGACGGAAATGTCAGCTCCCGAATCAATAAGAAAACGTCGACCGGAACGCACATCGGAAACGAAAACACGGTGATTGCGTAGTGCGGCGGTGGGCTGACTCGCCTCCGCCGCGCCTATTAGTTTTCCGGAGACTTGTAAGCGCAAGGTGCTATGCATTTACGAGCGGACGCACCGAAACGGTTGTGATAAAAACACATGCCGTTGTTTTTGTTATTGTTCGACCGTGATTTGGAGCGCGATCTCGAGCGGCTGTGATTAGAACCGTTGGCCTGCAGTGTGGCCAAACTGGCGACTTGTGCCGTGAGTGCTGCTATCGCGTTCTCGATTGAGCGGAATCGGTCGGTTGACGGTTCGGACGTGTTCACCGCGTGAACATCGTAAGTGGACGTCGCCTCCATGACCCGATCAGCGCGTGCTGCGAGTTCCTCCAGCGACCCATCTTGTCCGGAAATGATCGCGGCGGTTGTTGATGGCAATTTTTGTAGCCAAAACTGCTTGAGAGCGTCCTCGCCGATACTGTCCGGAAGAATGTAGCGCATGTCACGCAACAATTGTGATGGCCGTCTATCGCCTAGACCGCCTGGCTGGACGATGCTGCGAAAACGCGTGGTTTGGGGTACCGCGAATGCGGAGATGAGGCGCTGTTTAAGGCTCTCGAAACGAACTTCGGGCCCGATGAGGTCGCAAACAGTCTTGATGCCTTCCTCGTCTAACGCGGCGATAACGAAATTCGCCCTCGAGGTGTCAGAACGTAAACGGTGGTTCGCGAAAACGGCCTCGGCGTGGAAAAACCATTCGCGTGGAGAGTGCCGCCAAAAATTAGGTAGACGCACTTGCGCGAAACTCGCGGCGGACACGTTATCGGACGGCGGGTTCGCGTTCTCGTTAGTCGGCGGTTGAGTTTCATTCTCGAGAGAGAGAAGATCGCGTGTATGATTGCCGGAACACATCGTGTGTTCGAAAAAATGTAAAAAGTCGAATGAGAAAACACGAGGTCACCAATTTGTGGCTTTGGTTATTGCACTACAGTGATTTCCCCCTATCACCAATTATGATAGGCCACAACAGGGAAAGGGTTACCTTCGATGAACAACGAGAATTAAATGTTTACGAAATAAGTTTATTACACAAAACAATGTTACAAGTGAGAGTTAAATAAATCAATGAACAGATATAATAAATTCACGGCAGTTGCACGGACGAGTATATGCGTAGGCGCGGGATCACAGACAAGTGGAGTGACAACGAACGGCCGCTGCTGAGGCAGGCCACTACGAGCGCGAGGGTCGCCGCGACAAACGCTGTGGCGGTCGCCACAGGTCTGATGATAAGCGTTGTCACAGATGTTGTTTTCTTTAGACGTAGTTTACACATACATTGACTAATATAATAGGTATAACTTGATAAATTACTTATTCTATATGAATAAATGAAACCAACTAATTGTTTAATAAATTAATATATGCTATATTAGATTTTATATGAATTGTTCAATGTTTGGTACTCCTAAGTACCGTCGGACGACAAAGGGTTATCGACTATGAATGCGGCCCTTAAAGTTTGTCAGTTTACAGTTTACTAATTAGAATTTCGAAGTGAATACGAACTGCAAATACCAGCGTGTAGTTTCTCCTCTTGCTTTTGTCAGAGTAGTCATGTATTTATCATCATCATCATCATCATCATCATCATCATCATCATCGAATTCCGATGAAGAAAATGATGTGCTTGAAGTTTTGATAAACCTTCCTCGACCACGATTATACAGAGATCGTTTTTTCCTCTGGAAAAATATGATGATTTAGATTTCAAAAATAGGTTCAGGTAAGACTGTGTTATTGTTAATTATTTTGGGTTCATATAAAAACATTATCCGACAATTTTAAATTTACTATTGCCCCATTACAATTTAAAAAATAAAAATTTGTTCTGACATCAATATTGAAAGAATAATAAACGTGCAATGTATTATTTTAATCACAATGTGTTTTTCTCAACACCTTAAGAATGTACATAACATGTTAACATTTACCTCACTTGACCCTGTTATTACCATCCTAATATAACTGCATTAATAATTAATATTGAGTTGTATTTTAAATTAAAATGATTACAAATTGTGTATACCCCATAGGTTAACAAAGAATACCTTTATGATATTATTGAATGTAATTGGAAAAGATATAAAACATGGTACTAATAGGAATTATGCAATCAAACCAGAAGTACAATTATTAATAGCATTGAGATTCTATGCGACTGGGACATTTCAAGTAAGTTTTTCAAATTTATTCGTTTATGAACCATACATTTATTAAATAATTATAAACAAAAAATATAATGATTTAATATAGAATAATCAATTATTTAGGTTATTATTGGTGATCATATTCAAGTGCACAAGTCATTGGTTTGCAGAATTATAAGACGTGTATCAAAATGTATAGCTTGCCTTCGTCCTTTATTCATAAATATTCTCAAAACATAAGCCGAAATGAAAGAAGTTCAAATTGGATTTTATTTACGTAACCAATTCCCTAAAGTAATTGGTGCAATTGATTGCACACATATTAGAATCCAGTCTCCTAACAGTAATATAGGAGAACAGTTCAGGAATAGAAAAGGTTATTTTTAATGTTCAAGCTGTCTGTAATAGCAAAATGGAAATTATGAACATTGTAGCTAGGTAATAGTTTAATTGATATTTTGCTAATTCATTTTATGGGTATATCAGTTGTATTTAATGCATTATTTATATAGATGTCCAGGATCTGTACATGATAGTACTATTTTTGATAATAGTTTATTGTGTGCACAGTTCGAAAATAATGAATTTAAAGAATGTTTTCTGCTCGAAGATAGTGGATATCCCTGCAGAAAATATTTGATGACTCCGTTGTTAAATCCTACCACAGCTGCAGAAAAAAAGTATCAAGTAATTAAAATTAATTTTAGCAATGTAATAGTTTTATAATAATGGTGGTTAAGTAAAAAAAATATTGAATTTATAGAAAGCTCAAATTGGAACCAGAAATGTAATAGAAATAGTTTTTGGTGTTTTGAAAAGGCGTTTTCCAGTTCTTTCTGTTGGATTACGTAATCAACCAAAATCAGCATTGACTACTATTGTGGCTACTGCTGTATTACACAATATTTTGTTAAAACAAAATGATCTGCAGATTGATGGTGATTTATTTGAAGAACTAGACGCTTTGCCAGTACAGCAAGTTGGAAATGCTGTAAGAAATAACATAATTGAAAACTATTTTTCTTAATAGATGTATCTGACAAGAATAAAAATAACTTATTTTAAATGTGCAACATTTATTTTTGTTTTAATAGCAGGTATATAAAAATTAACAATAACATAAATTCTTTCCTAGAATAGTATTCAACATTTAACAATAACATAAATTCTTTCCTTGAGTAGTAGGTATATAAAAATTAACAATAACATAAGTCATAAAACCTACATTTAAAAATTATATACAAATTTGAAATAAACAATGTCAATATTTATTTTAAAATCATATTTCCTTTTTATTTTTTTCCAGACTAAGTTCTAAAATTTCTTCTTTCATTTTATTTTGTTTAATCTGAGAAAGGTAATGGTCATTATCTGCCTTTTGTTTTGCAATTAAAATATTTTTTTCTAATTCTGCTAAGTAAAAGTGCAATTAATAACAAGATAATTGTTTGTAAATATTGTAAGAAACTAGGTCATGAAATTGGAGTATGCAGGAAATTAAAATATAACAATGAAAAAAGAGCTAGTCAGGCAAATTCAAGTTCAATGACAGAACCATCAACTTCGGGAAACGAGAGAGGGTCGATTCTGAACGGCGAACGATCGGTTCAAGAAATCAAAGCAACAGCCGTGACATTTCAAGAGCATTTAAATTAAAGGCTCAACTTTATAAAGATCACATTATATGTCAAGCTACGGAATTCGTAATCAGAAATCAAGATTTTTACTTGACACAGGTAGCAAAGTAAATATAGTAAAATTATTATCATGAAAAGACGACGTAAAAGTTAACAAAAGAATTTTATATCGATTAAAAGGGATTAATGAATATTTTGTGAACACAATTGGGTCAGTAAATATAATGGTAAATTTTTTAGAAGAAAAAAAAGACAAGTAAGGTTTCAAGTTGTTAATAATAATTTTCCAATACCTCATGATGGAATTTTAGGTTAGGTTAGGTACAACCTATGAAATATGAATTTTTGCGTCACGAAGTTATATATTTAGGTCATATTATCACAGAACAAGGATTGAAACCAGATCCATCAAAAATTTTGAGTGTAAAAAATTTTCCAGAACCAAAGAACCAAAAACAATTGAAAAGTTTTTTAGGACTATCAGGATATTACCGTAGATTTATAAAGAATTATGGTAAGGTCGCAAAACCATTAACCACATTGTTGAAAAACGATCCACTATATGATTGGACAGATCTGTGTCAACAGGCATTTAGAACATTAAAAGATGCATAAGGGAACCTATTCTTAGTTATCCAGATTTCGATAAACCATTTAATGTAACATGCGATGCAAGTAACTTTGCAATTGAATCAGTTCTTTCACAAGGTACGATAGGGGAAGATTTACCAATCGTATACTCATCAAGGGTACTGAATAAAGCAGAACATAATTATGGTACGACAGAAAAAGAGTTATTAGATATCGTATGGAGCTTAAAACAATTAAGACCATATTTACTGGGAAGAAAATTCTATATATTGACAGATCATCAGCCTCTCAGATGGTTGGTTAATCACAAGAATCCAGGATCACGGGCTTCCTCCTGGCTTCCCGCAACAACTGCGCGGCCATTGCCCGGAGCTTTTCCACATGCGCGGCAATCATGCCGCGGGATGGCCGGTTGTTGCGGTTCGGTGGGGGGTTATTGGTGCGTTCTGCCATCTGAAACAAGGTATGATTAGTTAGTGTTCTCTGACGGTCCTACAGCTCGCTTCATCGCTGAGACATGTAACTTAGTAGGGTGTTTACCCTCCGTCAAGAACACTCCGGTTCCTAGTGGTTTACCCAACTTAACCGGACCTAACCATTTCGGGGCGAACCCCGCGTGAAAACGCTTCTCCGCACTTGATTGCGGATGCGCTTTGTAATATACCCAATCCCCTACTGACAGATTGTCTTTTCCCGGGAATTCTGGGGCTATATGGGTACTGGGGCTTTTGGGGCTGGACCCCACCGGGTAACACCTCTCTCAAACCGGAGCATCATCCGGTTCCACCGGAGGATCTTCGATTTCGGCCGAAGGGTTCCGATCTACTCCGGACATCTCCGGACCACCTTTGCCGTCGTCCGGCGACTCTTCAGCCAACTCGAGCTGCCAGTCCCCGGGGGCCTTAATCTCCCGACCAAACATCATTTTGGCCGGCGACTGTCCGGTGTTTCGGTTTTCTCTGTTCCTTACAGAGAACAACACGTGTGGCAGGTAGACATCCCACAGATGATAAGGCTTATCAACGAGTAAGGTCCGCAACCCTTTATTCAACTCTTGATTTCGCCTTTCTACCGGGTTGGCACGTGGGTGGTATATTGGAGTC